CAACGTTTTCAATAAATCAATCCTATTGATTAGTGCGTATTCCGTAGTTGTCCTTCAATCAGTATACAATGATTTCCTGGCCTACACCAACAGATGGCAGTGCATGCTCACACAAAGCGCTCTTCCTCTCCGCATGAGGCTTACAGTTAAAATGTTGTATGTTTAATGCGAACGAAGTAGAAGACTTTTTATTAAAGATGATGAGCCAACGCTTATACATGCCAAGTGCGAACCAGTGTGCATTTATGTGAATGGAAGTGATCGCCTTTAATGGTATAATTAATTGTAGAGCAAGATGCTCAGCCTTCTGTTTCATATTAAGGCGATGCCATTTTGTTACACTTTAATATCAGAACTGTCACTATGATTTCCAGGAGATGTCATAGCGCCAAAGGTTTAAAAGTTAAAAGCTAATTATATTCAATGTGGTCTCAGATAAGTCCGTTAAGCAGCTATTTACAACTGTTTGAATTTTCGTGAATAAAATATATGGTAATTAATAATACCGCAATGCAAAATTGTAAACCACCCCCAGGGACAGAACATTGCATTATTTATCAAGGTGTCTGCTCAAAGACCTGTTCTTGTTGGCCAGATTCATTATTTGGAGCTGCCCCCTTACTGCCATGGGAGAATAAAGGAAACATGTCATAAGAGAAATGGGAAGTACTGGACTTCTGAAAATGCTACTTGCCTGGTTTTCATGCTGATGTTTTGGCTTCAATAGTTTCTCAGTCATTAGCCTGGTGAAGTAAAGAGCTAAGGATTTCTGACTATTCTCTGAATTGCCTGTCAGAGGTATCCCAGCCAGAGGCAGCCATGCAGTTATACTTTTTTAAAAGGATGTCAACAACGGTAACCCTCATAAGTGTATTTTGATGCCCCTTGCACATTGGGCCATCCAGCTGCAGTGCGTCTCACCCGGCATTTTAGTGTGTCCGGGAGGGATAGGTGCAGCATTCAGCCCAGCTGCAGGCAGTCTGTCAATATCTATGGCAGGCTGCTGCTGGACAGGGCTGAACTCAATACTGAGTAATATTGGCATTTAGAGCCCCGTGTATTCAGGAATGAAGGTCTGGAATGCAGATCCTCTGCATTCTGAGCCTTCATCCCTAAATTAACCATTTCAATACCGGGCAATTTTACACCTTCCTGCCCAGGCCAGTTTTCATGTTTCAGCGCTCTCACACTTTGAATGACAATTGCGCGGTCATACAACATTGTACCCAAACTAAAATTTTATCATTTTCTTCACACAACTAGAGCTTTCTTTTGGTGGTATTTAATCACCGCTGGGGTTTTTATTTTTTGCTAAGTTAACAAAAAATACCAAAAATTTTGAAAAATAAACACGTTTTTCTTTGTTTCTGTTATAAAAGTTTACAAATAAATAATTGTTCTTCATAAATTTAGGCCAAGATGTATTCTGCTACATGTCTTTGGTGAAAATAACCCAAATTAGGATGTATTATTTAGTTTGTAGGAAAGTTATAGAGTTCACAAACTATGGTATAGATCTGAATATTGATCAATCCTGAAGTACTGACAGCCAATCTAATTTCTTGAGGTCCAAGAAAGTCAGAATAGTACAGATCCCCAAATGACCCCTTTTCGCAGAGTAGACAGTCCGACGTATTTCATAAGAGGCATGGCGCGTTTTTTTGAAGTTGTATTTTTTTGTCATATTTTTTTTGGAAAATGACAAAATTAAAAAAATTATTTTCACTTTTTTTTTTTACATATTGTCACCAGTGCAGTACAGCGTCATCATATAACTGGCATAGCGGTGAACAGGGACACTGACTGGTGACAGTATGGAAAAAAAAAAAAAATATATATTTTTTTTAATTTTTTTTCAGATTTTTTTTTCAGATTTTACTATGACCAAAGTAGTACAATGTTACCATAGTAACATTGTACTACTTTGGGGAAGTGATCAGTATTTTTTTTTTTTTTTTATACAATTTGCTTATAGCAAAGAATTACTTTGCTATAAGCAAGCATTTACCTGAATGACATCAATTCATTCAGGTTTTTTTTTTTTTTTTTTTTTTTTTGTGCTTAGCTGTGATTTGGCCACAGCTAATCACATGACATGTGCATGTGACCTGCTGTGACCATTCACAGCTAAGCACTAGTATACAATGGATGGCATGAATGAAGCCATACATTGTATACAACTGTCATGTGACCTGCTGTGATTGGTCACAGCAGGTCACATGGTACCGGCAACAGGGGCCGGTACTCAGATCTGTCATCGGCCGTGTCCGAGGTAAACGGCCGGTGACAGATCGCACCGCTGCGCAGCTCTGCAACCGCGCAAACTGCGCATGTGCGGGAGGACGCCAAATGGCGTATACACCGGAAATCTGCAGCATTTTTGCGGCCGCCAAACGGCTATAGGCCGGGCGGCTAATGGTTAAAACACTGCAGCTGGAAGGCCTTATGTGCAATCAACATAGTGGTCTATTTATAATAAAAAAGGTGTGCAAATGTCTCACAACTTTGCTAACAGTCCCCATGAAGTTTGTGAAATAGACAAAATGATCATTAGCTCCATCTAATAGCCATAATGTGGTATTTTCCTGAAATATATGTGAAATGAATGAAATGATCATTTGTGCCATCTAATGGCCATAATGTGGCATTCTCCTGAAATATTGCAATTAGGAGGATACTGCATCACAACCACTAAATGGAGCTGATGACCATACAATATTCATAGAAAATGACATTTCACACACATTACAAACATTATGGGGATTATTCACAACATTTGTGTGAATGCTGAGAAATTCACACAGCACATGTTTTATAAATAGGCTCCTAATCTACTGTACACAAAGCATAAAAGAGGTTTAAATGAAACCTGTACTAGTAGAAATGATTATGTTGCTTTGTGGAGCTTTTTCAAAATGCCTGGTCAGAATCTTTCTGGCCGTATTACAGCTCTATAGTTTCCTGAATTATTGATCAGCAACAAGTATTCAGATCAAGAATTTACCCTGAGATCACAGGCTGCATGCTTATTCCAGGGAAGAAAATATTGGAGCCAGGAAGCCAGCATTTGTAGAAGGTAGTCACAGGGGCGGACTGACAACTCATAGGGCCCCCGGGCAATAGGGGATCATGGGGCCCCTGTGTCCTTGCCCAAACTCAAAAAAGCCTATGAAAAAGGTACCAGGGGCATCTTGTGGGGCCCCCTACTGACCCTGGGCACTCGGGCAGTGCCCGAGTTTCCAAATGGTCAGTCCGCCCCTGGGTAGTCAGCAATTGTAGACTTCATATTTTCTCAGTATGGGTTTTCATTTGATTAGGGCAGTCTGCATCCAGGACAGTGCTTCTGTACCTGTATGGATGTAAATGCTTGGCTTTGTTGGAAGATCCATACAGCTGCTGCATCTTTCATCCTGTCATTGATTTTCAACAGGTTGCTTGCATTGCCCACACACGTAGCATCTGTCACTCCCATGTACATGAACACACAGTAAACACACGTGGTATTTTTTGTAATTCAGTAGCTTTTTAGCCATAATGCTAAGGCTCCATGCACATTGGGCATTTTAATAACGCTGGTAACGTTAGCTGTGTAAAGTCAGCATCTTTAGGGCTCGTTCACACTTGACTTTATTTCTAACTTTATGTTTAACGCTCCTCAAATGCTCCCCAAACGCCCTATGCGTGGTTTTGAGGTGGTTTATAGGCATTTGAAACCGTTAAAACTGCACCACAAACGCCTATAAAGAAGTTAAATGGTATTAACGGAGTGGCACCATAAACTTGAATGGGAGGCTTCAACTCCTTCTGACTTGACATGAGGCATCAGTTTTGCTGCAATGCAACAGTGTGAACAGCTTCAGTGTGAACAGCGCTGTGTGCAGAATTTTCATAGGCATTTGAGAAGCGTTAAAAATGCTTCCCAAATGCCTGTCTGACGCCTGCTGACAAGAAGCTAGTGTGAACTGAGCCTTAGTGTTTTTGCATTAGCGCTTAGCCACGTTTTTTCACGTTTTTTCCGTTTTTTTTTTTGCTCAAAACAACATCCAAAAATGCTAGTTTGCTGCAATTTACAGTGTTTTACCATGTTTTTCATTTTTCAGTGTTAGAGCATTTTTATAGTTAAAATATTCCTCTAGAAACCCACTAGTTCTGTTTTTTTTTTTCTAGCCAAAAATATGCCCCTGCCAAAAAAACGCTGATTACAGTCTATGTGTGCATGGACACATAAATAAAATGCTGGGGAGTTTACTGGCTGTAGAAAAAAAATGTCAAAAGCCAAAAACAGCAGCTGTAAAAATGTCCAGTGTGCATGAGGACTAGTGATTAGTAACACGGAATGATCAGCCTACCCTCAAGTATCATATAAAACTTCATATTTAAATGCGACTTAACAGAGGTTTTTAGATCGGTAACACAGCAAAGTGTTTTGACCCAGCTGGGTCTTGTTCCAAAGACAACAAGAACAATCCTTGATAAAGATATTTGCTACACTGGGCCCAGGTGCAAAAACATCTTTTGTGACCTACAGCAGTCCCTGTTTATTATAATGTCCCTGAGTGCAGAGATTCGCTAACAGAAATGTCCCTGGAGTGAAGCAGCATGAATGGAGATGTGGTTCACGTTTACATCAACATGGTCTGTTCATTGCTCAGATTTTAAAGATGCTGCCATAGCATTGCACAGATAGGTAAATAGTAAAGCTGACCATAGATGAGTAGTTTTCCCCCCTGTTGTCCTCCTACTAGACTACTAGAAAGTATGATTTTTTTTTTCTTTGTGTCTTTTAAGGTTCTTTGCGATAAAAGCAATAAAGCAAAAAAAAAAACAACCTTTGTAGTGTATTCATGTCCTTAAACAACAAAATGCTGTACTCACACAGACTACGTACAATTTTAGGAAAATACATGGCATACAGAATATTACAAAGTATGCATACAATACACACATGTACAAGCTATCTTTCCTAGCAAATGAACATGAACAATGTACAGTATGTGATAGCTCTACATCACAGGTGTCAAACTGGTGACAATCCAGCTGTTGCCAAACTACAAGTCCCATGAGGCATTGCAAGATCGACAGTTACAAGTATGACTCCCAAAGGCAGAGGCATGATGGGACTTGTAGTTTGGCAACAGCTGGAGGGCCGCCAGTTTGACACCCCTGCTCTACACTAAAAAGCTACTTAATTTGGTTCTTCCTTGTCATGGAGCCTTATTCAGGATCTCTCCAGACTGCTCCTTGCTTCTTAGAGTCCTGCAAAACAACTTCTTTCTTTGTCTGGAGTACATGGTCGTGTCCAAGTCCTTTGTTCCTTCCCCCTACTTCTTGTCAACATCATTTCCTGTTTCATGAAACCAAGCAGGTTAACTAGCATATGAATAATGGAAGCCTAGCTTCTAAAAACAATACATGGTCATAATTCCATATATTTATGCTATAGAAATCACTAAAATAGGCATAGCAACACATTTCACCCACCAGGGAAACCTATTCCGGCACTGACTACAAAGTCATTTTGAGGGGAATAGTGTTGATCGCTGATTTCCCACCACCAGCTTATCTCACACTTTACACTTTTTCATGCTCAACTTATAGGCATTGAGGGGAGCACATACTTTGCAAAGCCTTGCACACTGTATTCCTTCCCTAGGAGGGTTGGTTCCTACCTATGGAACATCTGTAACCGGCCACCACAACTCCCTCTCCCAAGCTGGCTGCTGTTCCTTCCCATTTTTACTGTGCACGCTTCATCACCCAAATGTTAAGTCGGAAGTTTATAGTTCTTCCTCAATGCATATACACACTGTGGAAGCTCTCTCTCTCTCTCTCTCTTCTTCAAGAAAATTAGTCCAGATGTAGTAAGCAGAACGTCTTTTTACTGAAGTACATATATTGTCACTGACAAAACGGTGCAGCATTTTAGCGTAACATGACAGTGCCCCTTTCCTTTTTTAGTGCTGCAGCTGTGGTGCACATATCTATTTGTGGTGCGTGCTTCCAATCAATGAACAAAACGGGTTCACTCCTTCATCCCATGTCAGGATCTCGCTATGGGGTAATCCCCTACTTGAATCAGTGAGTATATCTCTACCTGTGCCTGTTCCTCTCAATTCCAAGTCCCAAAGAAGACCCCAACAGGTCCAACTCTACCTGCATATATCGTTTTCCTACTCAATGGGAAACGACAAATTCAGGGGGAGGGTTACATAGTTACATAATTACATAGTTAGTCTGGCTGAAAAAAATACAAAAGTCCATCCAGTTCAACCAAAAAAATAAAATAAATAAATTATAATCCTATACCCACCATTGATCCAGAGGAAGGCAAACAAACCCAGCAAAACATGATCCAATTTGCTCCCGCAAGAGAAAACATTCCTTCCTGATCCCCCGAGAGGCAATTGGATATTCCCTGAATCAACTTTACATATAAATGTTAGTATCCAGTTATATTTTGTGTATCAAGGAAAGAATCCAGGCCTTTTTTAAAGCAATCTACTGAGCTGGCCAGAACCAACTCCTGAGTGAGTCTATTCCACATTTTCACAGCTCTTACTGTGAAGAAATGTGGATATTAAATCTCTTTTCCTCCAGACATAAAGAGTGCCCCCTTGTCCTCTGTGATGAGCTCTGTGATGAACCACCGATTTATATATACATGTTGATATCCCCCCTTAATCTCCTCTTCTCAAGAGAGAATAAATTCAGTTCCTCTAATCTTTCTTCATAGCTGAGCTCCTCAATGCCTCTTTTCAGTTTGGTTGCCCTTCTCTGTACTTTCTCCAGTTCCCCAATGTTTTTTTTGTGAATTGGTGCCCAAAATTGAACGGCATATTCCAGATGAGGTCTTACTAATTATTTGTACAGGAGTAATATGATATCTCTCTCTCTGGAGTCTATACCTCTTTTAATACAAGAGAGGATTTTACTCGCTTTAGAAATCGCAGCTTGGCATTGCATGCCATTATTAAGCTTGTGATCTACCAGAACTCCCAGAACCGCCATGCCAGTTATATGATGACGCTGTACTGCACTGGTGACAGTATGTAAAAAAAAAATAGTGAAAATAATTTTTTTAATTTTCCGAAAAATTATGACAAAAAATACAACTTCAAAAAACTCGCCATGCCTCTTATGAAGTACGTCGGACTGTCTACTCTGCAAAAAGGGGTCATTTGGGGATATCTGTACTATTCTGACATTCTTGGACCTCAAGAAATTAGATTGGCCGTCAGTACTTCAGGATTGATCAATAATCAGATCTATACCATAGTTTGTGAACTCTATAACTTTCCTACAAACTAAAAAATACATCCTAATTTGGGTTATTTTCACCAAAGATATGTAGCAGAATACATCTCGGCCTAAATTTATGAAGAACAATTATTTATTTGTAAACTTTTATAACAGAAACAAAGAAAAATGTGTTTTTTTTTTCAAAATTTTTGGTCTTTTTTTGTGTTAATTTAGCAAAAAATAAAAACCCCAGCGGTGATTAAATACCACCAAAAGAAAGCTCTAGTTGTGTGAAGAAAATGATAAAATTTTAGTTTGGGTACAATGTTGTATGACCGCGCAATTGTCATTCAAAGTGTGAGAGCGCTGAAACCTGAAAAATAGCCTGGGCAGGAAGGTGTAAAAATGCCCGGTATTGAAACGGTTAAACCTCATTTGTCACATAGTTGCCCAATTACACAGTGCATTGAGGTCGGCTTGTAAATTGGAGACATCCTGTAAGGACGTTATTCCACTGCACGGCTTGGTGTCATCTGCAAAGACTGAAATGGGATTTATAATCTCAGACCCTATATCATTTATAAATATATTAAAAAGTGAGGGTCCCAACACTGAACCTTGGGGTACACCACTGACAACCCCAGACCATTCAGAATATGAATCATTAACTACTACTCTTTGAATACGATCTTTTAGCCAGTTTTCTGTCCATTTACATACAGATTTTTCCAAACCCGTAGACTTTACCTTACACATTAGCCGTGTGTGGGAGAACTGTGTCAAACACTTTTGCAAAATCCAAATATACCACGTCCACCGCCACCCCTCTGTCCAAGGTTTTGCTCACCTCCTTATAAAAAGAGATCAGATTTGTTTGACAACTCCTGTCTTTCATGAATCCATGCTGGCTGTTGTTTAAAATATTTTTTTCCAGCAAGAACTCATCTATGTGCTCTTTTATTAAATTCTTGCCAACTATGGAAGTTAAACTAACAGGTCTATAATTACTTGGTAAAGATTTTGACCCCTTTTTAACCGCTTGCCTACAGGGCACTTATACCCCCTTCCTGCCCAGGCCAATTTTCAGCTTTCAGCGCTGTCACAATTTGAATGACAATTGCACGGTCATACAACACTGTACCCATATGAAATTTTTATAATTTTTTGGAGACAGATAGAGCTTTTTTTTGGTGGTATTTAATCACCTCTGGGTTTTTTATTTGTTGCTTAACAAACCAAAAACAACTGAAAATTAAAAAAAAAAAAAGTTTTTTCTTAGTGTTTGTTATAAAATTTTGTAAATAAGTGATTTTTCTACTTCACTGATGTGCGCTAATGAGGCTGCAGTGATGGGCACTGATAGGCTGCACTGATGGGCACTGATAGGTGGCACTGATGGGCACTGATGAGGAGGCACTGGTAGGTGGCACTAATGGGCATTGACAGGCATCACTGATGGACAGTGAAAGGCAGCACTCATATATGGCACTGATAGACGGCACTGACTGGCACTGTTCGGTGGCACTGATAGGCAGCACTGATAGGTGGCACTGATGCACACTGATAGGTGGCACAGACTGGCACTGATGCGCGGCACTGGCTGGCACTGATTGGCAGCACTGATAGGTGGCACTGACTAGCATTGATAGCTGGCACTGACTGGCACTGATAGGTGACACTGAAAGGCAGCTCAGATGGGCACTGATATGTGACATTGATGTGCACTGGTAGGCACTGATATGTGGCATTTATGTGGCACTGATGGGAACTGGCAGGTGGCATTGATGAGCACTGACAGCTTGCATTGATGGACACTGACAGATGGCACTGCTGGGGCTACATTGATCATCAGGGAACACTGATCATCAGTGCCCTGATGATCAGTGTACATGTTCCCTCTGAGGGATGCCGATCTGTCAGCGTGACAGCTTGTGAGGAGAGAAATAGCGATAAGCTGCATTTCCCTATTTACATGCGATCAGCTGTGATTGGACACAGCTGATCACATGACCGAGCCAACATCTTCGGCTCTTTCCATTGATCAGTGATCCCCTGTGTCCGAGGGACACAGCGCACCATCGATCGTCTCGCTGCGCACCCTCGGAGCTGCGCATGCGTGGTTAGAGTGGGAGGGTGTCGTATGCTGTCCTTCCAGAACGAGAGAACCACCTTGCGCCCGTCATTACCTTATATGGCGGGAGGGAGGCGGTTAAATATAGGCATCACATTGGCCTTATGCCAATCCAGTAGTACTATGCCAGTCATTAAAGAGTCTCTAAAAATGAGAAACAATGTCTTTGAAATGACAGAGCTCAATTCTTTAAGGACCCATGGGTGTATGCCATCCAGTCCAGGTGCTTTATTCAGTTTAAATATTTCTGGATCATATCAATTGTGAGCCAATGTGGATCATCTGGAGCTGTGTCAATACCATGCCCATTATGGACAAGAGCTCCTCCATGCTCCTTTGTATACACAGAGCTGAAGAAGATATTTAATACATGTGCCTTCTCTTTGTCCCCAGTCACCCACTCTAGATTATTTTGTAAAGGGCCTACATACTCGGACCGGATCTTTTTACTATTAATATCTTTGAAGAATTTTTGGGGGTTGGTCCTGCTATCTTTTGCAATCTGTCATTCGTTTTCAATTTTTGCGGCCTTTATTTCCTTTTTGCATATTCTATAATATTCTTTGTAATGTTTAGACAATGATAGTGTTCCTTCATTTTTATATTTAATATAAGTTCTTTTCTTATTATCTATAGCTTTTTTAACTTTGGCCGTAAGCCACATAGGTATAATATTTAGCCTTTTAAACTTGTTGCCCATGGGAATATATTTTGCAGTGTGTTCACATACAGTCTTTTTGAAGAACTCCTATTTCTGTGTTGTGTTCATCAATGCCAATATTCCCTCCCAGTCTAA